AAATTTTCTGAGCCATCAAAAGCTTCTGAGCCATCAAAAGCCGACGCGTAATCCGGATGCCTGAAGCCGCGTTTCGAATTGTTCTTATTCAAGTATGGCTGTAATGGGACCCAGTCTCAAAAGCTGGCATGGGCTAAGCCAGAATGATCAGTCAAGGAGGATTAAGGTCCCATTACAGCCATACTTGAATGGCTTTTGATGGCTCAGAAGCTTTTGATGGCTCAGAAAATTTGATGATTGGCATTCCAATTTGGACTTTGATATTGCTTCTATGCTAGAGAAGACTCTGACTGTTTCTATTATCTTTGCACTTTGGCCTATTGATTTATATCATACTTGTTGTTATGCTTATTTGATTTACATTTCATTATATCATACTTGCTTATTTGATTTACATTACACTTGCTGTTATGCTTATTTGATCATTATATACTTGCTTATTTGCTTGTAAGTTGTTTTTGCCAAGTGGTGTTCTTTTTTTTGGTTCTTACATTGTACACTGGCTCCCCCCCCTTTTTTTTTGGCTGCTTGTACACTTCTGGTGATGTCAGGGGGTGTGGCCTTATGACACACTTCCGGTGATGTCAGGGGGTGTGGCATATGCTAATGAGTTATGCTAATGAGCCCCCCTAGCTCTTTTTCTACGAAACGACCCCTGGTTCCCATGAAAATGACCATCCTGATAGTCTGCGTCGACGCAGACCTAACCTGGCCCTGACCCTAGTTGTTTCCGTCTCTCAGATCAGGTTGGTAATGTGAGAATATGCACTCTTTGTCACACTGGGTTTTGCCAAGAGAGGGAGAGAGGCTAGGTCGTACCACTAGGTGGCGGTGTTTCATAGGGTTCAGGCTGACTTGGAGCCGCCGCCTTAGAAGAAGAAGGCCATCATTCATTCTGTTGGGGTTTCTCGTCCTGCAGAAACCTTCGGAGGTACCTTGCGGCTTTCCAGCAGTGCTCTGGGGAACCTCAGGGGGTGTCCTCGAAAGCTAACCGAGGGTTCCTCAGTGAGAAGACGGAGGGCACGTTCACTCCCTCACTCCCATCTTCCCATGATACGTGGGGGACTGCAGGATGTGTCCTGGTCACTTTCATCACAGTGTCTCCGAGAATCATGTGCAGCACGCTGGGTCTTCCGCTGAAGACCTGCAGGGCCTCTTTGGCAGACGAGTCACTCTGGAACTGGGTTCCCCGAAGGTAGAACGTTTGAAAGATCAGCCCAGGGGAAACACACCAGGGGCTGTTTCGTGCAGGTGTGTCCATCACGTGTCGGTCGGGCTGCTGCCGCATCAAGTGGACACATGCCCAGGTGAGGAAGCCCTTGCGCCTTAAGAGCACTGAAAGCGGAACTTTGGCAAAACCCGGTCAAGGGTTGGTGTGCACATGCCAGCCTGGCCTCACTGGCCAGAGACCGAGCCGTCTGCAGGAAACTGGCTTCCCTCCCTTCCAAGTGGGAATTCCTCGGATCCAAATTCTCTGCCATCCTGCAGGACACGCTGCTGTCTGCCGCCGCCGGCGGGACAGAAGGCTGCGGTGCAG